TTTTGGACTAATACAACCTAAACAAACAGTTGAGACTTTCTCACAAACCCAACAGGGATTCCACAAACCCATTCCTGGTCCTGACCTCTATCCCGATGTGAAGGATGAGGTTATGGAGCCAGAGTTTGAACCCAAGGTGCCAGTGCCGGCAAACACTGTCGAGGTTCAATGTGGAGAGGTCTCCGTCAAAGTGCAGGTGAAGCAAGATTTCTTGGGGAACAATCAGTTCATTAACCCCTCTGATCTGACGCTGGGTGGTTGTCCAGCTGTTGGATTTGATGACCATGCCAGGATTGTTGCCTTTGAGTCAGCGCTACAAGGATGTGGGAGCACATTAACGGTACTGTATGTCCTGTTAAGCATTGTTTCTCCAGCTGTTGTGATCCTGTTAAGACTTGTCTAAAATGATACAAAAATCCTTGCCCAAGATGCTCTTTGGTGTTCTCATGTTTGTGGTCACCTGAATTAGAAGTGTGGCTGACCAGGGGAACCATAACATGTCCACATGATTTAATCTTTTTAGTCTTATCTCTTGAACGGTCTTTCTTATTATTATTATTATTTTTTTTTTTTTGTGTATTATGATTTATAGTTTTTATTTCTATTTGATTTTTTTTTTTTTTTTTTTTTTTTTTTTTTTTTTTTTTTTATTTTTTTTTTTTTTTTTCTTTCTTATTTTTGTTTATTTTGATTATTGTAGTGTGTGTTTTTTTTTGTTTGTTTTTTTTTAATTGTCTTGTATTCTTTTTTTTCTTGTCTTTTTGTTGATGTTAATTTTATAAGAATTGTATTTAATTTTTTTATTAATATCTACGTGTACCACTTTCTTTTCAGATGACTGAAGATTCACTCGTTTATTCCTTTGTTTTGGTGTATTCACCTTCACCTGTTCCTAACACGCCTATTGTGAAAACTAATGAAGCTATGGTTGCACTTCATTGCATCTACCCAAGGTAAACATCTTTTAAACCTTTCAATCTAACATGGTAGCATGATAATCAGGCTTTAGTTTATACTTCAACATGGCATTTTATGCTATGTTAAAATTAAAACAAATGTAAGATTTCAAGAAAAAAGTTAATGTTTTGGTACTTTTAATAGGCCTTTTACAAGAATAAAATGACTAGGCCTATTCCAAATCAAATTTTTTTTTCTTCATTTTGTTTTCGAATATTTCTTCTACATTTGCATATTATGTGACATTAATATACTTTTAATCTCTCAATTTTGCATCTTAAA